TTACTTTGCTTTTGTGCTTATCCTGCATTGGCAAAGTTTCCGTATTGGTGATTTCCTGTCCTGTGCAATAACAAGACAAGTCTATTGGTTTCTTGTTCATATTCTTCGCATTCTTTTATTGAACACATAAGTATTGCCATGAAAAATCATGTTTGGTTTATAATCAATTTTTTGTTTTCTCTGAACAGTAATTTTAGACTTCATGTGGACTTTAAACAATGTAATTCCTGTTTTTTGCTGAAGTCTACTTTATAACTATTGCAATTTCAGACTTTTTCTTGCAAATTAACCTTCTGACCAGAGTATTCCCGACTATTCCCTTAAGTTTGGTTTTTCACCAGTATAATTCTTAAATTTTTGCTGAAGTATGGATTATGATTATTCCAGTCTTTTTTAAGTTTATTTATATTTCTTTGAAAGTTATCCGTTGGATAGCGGTATCTATAAGATAAATACAGTGGTAGTAACCAATTGTTAAGCTATCCGATAGATAACGCTATCAGAGACTTTAACTATGAGTGGTAGTAGTGGGCCTAATTCTGAAATTTTTATAACAATGCATTAATAATTCGATTTTTTTTAAAATCGGCTATTCAAACAAATATTGATTAATTTTGAGGTTGTTAATAAAAACACAAAACTTAAAAAATAACGTTTAGTTAAAAAAAATGTATATACAAATGCGATAACAAGCTTAATCTAAAGGAGAAAAATTATTTTGAAAATATTGGAATCAATTAATATGGTAATTAATATACTAATTTATATACATTGCATAAATAAGTTAGTACAAAGTTTTTTTTTATGAAAAAATCACACACTTATTCTTATAAACTAGGAACGACGTTAAAGATAATCTTTTTCTTCATCATTTATTAATTTTTGTAATGGTTATAGATGTTTTATTAACAAAATAAAATATTTACAAATAAAAATTTGGTTCTAAATGTTAAAATACAAGAACTACTTAATTAATTAATTTTCTTGGCAAGATTAATTAGGATTTTTAATTAGCACCGTTTAACTCTTTTAGTAATTTTAAAACAATTACAAGAGAAAACCGTTTCGTTACTCTTCGTCATTTTAAATATTCAACTCAAAAACCAAAGATCATAATTCTATAGTTTGCGTTAAATCAGTCGTGGAAGAGATCTTTTGCTTATGGCCGGTTTTATCTAATTCAAGTTCGATAGTTAACGCTTCAACTTCATCTTCTAAAGCTCTCGTTCTTCGGTACATTTGAACGTAATTCATTTGCAATTGACGCTGATATCTTAGAACCTTCTCTTTTTCTTGCGCCCAAATAACACGTTCTTTTTCAAAATCTTTTTTTCTTTCCTCCAGTTCATTTCTTAACGAATCCATTTCTTTATTGAAATCTTGAAAATCTTGTAATTGATCGCCGATTCTTTTACATCTCAAATTCCTTCCAGCTTCTAAACCATCATATTCGCTCATAGAAACCTCAGAAAGTTCTTTACGTAACTCTTTAATTTCTTCTTTTAATCGTAATTTTTCTTCTTTTAATTTTAAGTTATCCATTAAATTATCTTTTATATTATCTTTTAAGTTATCTTGTAAATGATTCTTTATGAGTTCATTTGGTTCATCTAAATCTTCTTCATCATCTGATTCATATTGAAAATTTTTTAATTGTGCATTCATTAAAGCAATTTCATCATCTTTCTCTAAATTAATTTTTTGTAACGTTTCTATTTCTTCCTCTTTCATCTCTAAAGCAACTCGAAGATCTCGATAATCGGTTTTTAATTGCAGAAATTCGTGCCCTTTTATGGTTTGTTCATGCTACAAAATAAAATTAATTAGTTTAAGTGAATAATTTTAAATAAAAAATTACCTGGTAATCTTTTAATTGGCTTTTTAACAAAGAAATTTCCCCCGTTTTTTGACACAACGCCCATTCGGTTTCTTCTAATCGCGACCTCAACGTACAGACTTCCTGTCGAAGCCGTTCACTTTGACAAGAAGCTCGTTGGGTTTCCGCGAGAAGTCTCTTTTTGTCCTGTTGCAATTGATACGTTTGCGTCATCAACATTTGTTCCAATTTTAGCGTTTTTTGGGCGTTCGCCCTCAATCGATTTTCATGCACGTTTTTTAATCGTCTCAATTCTCGTTCCCATACTCGTTCCTTTTCTTCGTAAACCCTAAAGATAACTTGTTCGTTGTGTTCCATCGTTTGACGAAGATACGCCAACTCTGAATCTCGGTCCCTCAACGCCGCTTCCAGTTCTGACACACCCGAATCTGACGGTGAAGGTGTTAAATCCAGCAAACTTCCGCAACCTCCGCTCGACAATCTAAACGATGACGATTTATTCCTACACAGAATTAATATTTAAAAATATTAAATTTGCATTTTCATGAAACTTACATCATCATCATTTGGCTATCCATAACTGAAGAGACGGGACTCTTTCTAACGCTTTCCAAACTATCATAATTGATGAGTTTATGGGGTAGCGATGTTAAAGATGTCATTTGCATGTGGGGCGATGAAGATGAAGCGGAAGGACACGACGATCTCAACTTCCTATCGAGCGAATAGTGGATGTTGCCGCCAGCCGGAATATGGCGCAGGTCGCTGCTACCTTTAAAAGCATAAAGAGAAGAAGAACCGAGAATAACGGGCAATAACGGATGACGACGGTGGAGTTTATTTTTTTTTACTTTCTGGCATACATACTTCCGTATAACGTAAGACGCGATCCCGGTCTTGTTAAAACCGGTGTTGATCCATAACGTTCACCCGATAAACCAAATCTTGGGGCTGACGTTAAAAGCGTTGGCTTGAAAGCTATTGGACGAATTACTTCTTTACCCTTAAAAAAAAGAAAAGAAATTATTAAATCAAAAAATAAAACATAAAGTAGATACGAGTCCTTGATACATTTTCTACTAAGACGGTTTTATCTAACACGTTTAAGCCTATAATTATGCGTTTCGCCGCCTCATTACACATAATCGCACGCGATCAGTGACTGTAAATTCATTTTACGTCTGGTTTTAACATCTCAAATGTATATTGACTATGATTAATATGATAAATGGTGTTGAAGGCAACAATTCCGATTTAATTTAATGGATATTTTCATTAATAATTGGTTAATTTACTCCCAAAAAAGTAATATCTCAAAAACCAAACGATATTTTAAAACGCGGCTTTTTTCATTGAAAAGCACATACTTTTCTTTATAAGTACTGATAATGTTGTAACGATTCATAAAAAAAACAATTTTTTGTGATTTTTTTTAATGTCGATTCGTACAGCAAAAAATGGGTAATTTAAAAAAATTATATCTTAAGAACTAAATGATATTTTCAGAAACGGTTCTTTTCATTAAAAAGCTCACACTTCATTGTATTAATTCTAAAAATTTCTTATCGATGCGTTAAAAATTCGATTTTTGACGATTATTTTAAAAATCAAAATTTCAAGCAAAGATACAAGATGAAACAACTCAATTTGCAAAGTAATATCTCAAAAACCAAACGATATTTTAAAACGGGGGTTTCTTTATTGAAAAGCTCATACTTTTCTTTATAAGTACTGATAATTTCGTAACGATTCATAAAGAATTCAATTTTTTGTGATTTTTTTTAATGTTGAATCGTGATAAATGCTTACAGCAAAAAATAGGTAATTTAAAAAATTATATCTGAAGAACTAAATGATATTTTCAAAAACGGTTCTTTTCATTAAAAAGCTCACACTTCATTGTATCAATTTTGAAAATTTCTTTTCAATGCGTTAAAAATTCGATCTTTGACGATTTTTTTAAAAATCAAAATTTCAAACAAAGATAAAAGATGAAACAACTCAATTTGCAAAGTAATATCTCAAAAACGAAGCGATATTTTAAAACGGGGGTTTCTTTATTGAAAGGCTCATACTTTTCTTTATAAGTACTGATAATTTCGTAACGATTCATAAAGAATTCAATTTTTTGTGATTTTTTTTAATGTTGAATCGTGATAAATGCTTACAGCAAAAAATGGGTAATTTAAAAAAATTATATCTTAAGAACTAAATGATATTTTCAAAAACGGTTCTTTTCATTAAAAAGCTCATACTTTATTGTATTAATTCTGAAAATTTCTTATCAATGCGTTAGAAATTCGATTTTTGACGATTTTTTTAAAAATCAAAATTTTAAACAAAGATACAAGATGAAACAACTCTATTTGCAAAGTAATATCTCAAAAACCAAACGATATTTTAAAACGGGGGTTTCTTTATTGAAAAGCTCATACTATTCTTTATAAGTACTGATAATTTCGTAACGATTCATAAAGAATTCAATTTTTTGTGATTTTTTTTAATGTTGAATCGTGATAAATGCTTACAGCAAAAAATGGGTAATTTAAAAAAATTATATCTTAAGAACTAAATGATATTTTCAAAAACGGTTCTTTTCATTAAAAAGCTCACACTTCATTGTATCAATTTTGAAAATTTCTTATCAATGCGTTAAAAATTCGATTTTTGACGATTTTTTAAAATCATAAAGCTACAAGATGATACAAATCAATTAATATCTTAAAAACTAAACGATGCAGTAAAACGTGGTTTTCTTCATTGAAAAGCTCTAACTTTTGTTAACAAGTGATAATTTTGTAACAATTTCGCGATTTTTCAAAATTAATTAATAAAAATTTATTGTAAAAAGTTGCATAGTGTAATAATTAATGAGAATTCTATACAAATTTTCCAAGATAAAATTTTGAACTAGGTCACGGTTTTATCTGATACCGTTTAAGCCTATAATTACACATTTCACCGCCTCGTTTCGCATAATCTCACGCGATCAAAGCTTGATCGCAAATTAATTTAACATATAATTTTTAACAGCTATTGCAACTAATTAATAATGTAATAACCCAAAAATTAAAGGTGAGTTGTATGTAGCCACCTTTAACTTTATTGCAAAAAATAGTCATCAAAATAAAATTATTTAATTAAGTTATTAAAGTTTGTTTTGCAAAAAAAAGCTACTTTTAAAAAGAGACTAAAGACGCTTTAAGATAATTAACCCACTTCGAATCAAGTGTGTCACGAAGGAAACAGGTTCGCGTCGATTCCATATGACGCATGCGTCGATTCCCAGTACGCATTCGCAAACGTTGCGAATGTGAAAAGAGAAAAGAAAGGATACGAGTACGTGAAGAAAGTAAAGGATGGCGATAACGAAAAACGGTTTTAGGGACAAGTACACAGGACCGAGTTACAATGACATAATGCGGCGTAACAGGCGAGATATCGTGTTACCATTGTACGGGTGGTTTTTTACGGCGCCGTTAATGGCCAGTCCGGACCTGCGGAGATGTTATCCGCGGGAGGCTGCGCTTATCTCGACAATGCGATCGCCCCCTAGCGGCCGGCAGGAATGCGCGCGGTACGCGGACCGAGCCATTCATCTCGTCCAAGTCGCTTTTTCCATCTCGCTTTCTCTCTTTTTCACGTACATATCTTCGACGACGCAAATTGGACGAGAAGAAGAAACCGAAACGAAGAAAACGACGGTTAAATCGGTTCAAATCGGTTTAAATCGTTTAAATTTCGGTTGAATTCGATTAAATTCGGTTATATTCGATAAAATTCGGTTAAATTTGTAAGCGCTTCGAGTTTATACGCGCCTTAACAAATTTGGGGTCAAAACATTAATCGTTCGTATCTTTTAAACGAAAAAAGTTATCTTGATGGGATTTAAACCGATTAATTTATTTTTTTTAGGTTCAAAATTTGCGGCAAGTTTTACCAATAACAACTTGTGAGATTACGAATTCTTGCATGGTAGCTAAAGTTATAATTTTAGATGCAGCGCAGGATATAGTATACCCGAAAAAGTGATTTAGAATTTCGGACTTAAAGACTCTAAACAGAAATGAGGAATCAACCAACGTATAATGTAGATTTCAATCTCCAAGAGTCGTTGTATTGAGCAGATTCCTTACTACAAGAAAAAACTTAAACTGTAATTTACACCGCTTAAACTGGAATTGGTTGAGGCACAAACGAAAACAAAAATGGTACAAACAGGTACAAACGATTCTCTATCGAATTCCATCGACCGTTTTGCGATATCTTTATTAATAATAATAATAATAATAATAATCCTTTTTTACCCAACAGGCATAGCCCAAAAAAGGATAACAATATATATTACATAATGTAATAATACAATAATATGTTTCTGTATGTGAGAAAAAAAAAACAAAAATTACAAAAAATTCAAGAAATTAAGAATTGACCGAATTATAAAGAAAATAAAAATAAAAACTAAATAAGTGAATTTACATGCAGGTGATCACTGATTGTCTGGAATCCTGTTGCCCACTTTACAGAGAGTGTATGTTGGCGCCCGTCTCATAATGTTTGTCCTAGCATAAGGAATGACGAATACGCAGCTATATCTTGAGTTACTCCTTGGAACAACAAACCCTAGTCGCTCAAGAATGAAAGGGCAATCGATGTTATATTCGATAAGCCTTTGTAGAAACCTTTCATAAAACGCGTTTCTTCTGTCCATCAAGGAAATCATATTGTGTCGTGCAAGCAAATCATTTTGTGGTATACCTCGCTCAGGGTAAATTCCATCAGATTTGTAAGAAAGAAATTTTAAGAATCTACGATGGACTCGATCAAGGCTTAAGAACTCACATGCATATAAGGGACTCCAAATCAGGCAAGCGTATTCTAACTTACTCAGAACGTAAGCACAATACAAGGTCTTTAATAAGCTGACACTTGTGAAATATTTAGACATACGCATCACAAAACCTAGGGACCTAAAGGCCTCCGAACACACATTATTGATATGT